AATGAGTCATGTTGATTGTATCACGTCGGGGTCACCAATTTGCCAGACTTCGTGGCAAGGTAAATAATGAGACTGTAGATGGTTAAGGTCTGTTTATTACTTTAATTGCTGGTGCTTATATACTAAGAAGATGCGTGAGATTTTCAGATTTAGCTATCTTAACAAACGTGCAACAATTAACATGTATGTCTTATCTCTATCGTATCTAAGTAATGTAGCGACGTGATAGTGCCGCTACAGGTATCAATTAGATTTAGTTCAACCTCTTTTCCAATGCCCTTTCGATATGAACTGCTTATAATAGGCACAAAATTAAATAAGCAATGACATCGTATGTACTCAGTTTCCATCTCGTATCTAGGTTATCAAAACTAATTAGTAACCTTGCTATAAGCGTTAAGTGTTTAATTTCACACCGATGCAGCTTACCATGTCCTTACTTGTCTAGGGTTACTATTACCAAGATAAAATTCCTTGCAAATAATAAACACTATTTTTCTGTTAAGTAATATAATAAGTATAAAAACCGCCGATTCGCCGATTCCATTCTGTAGGTACAGATTTCGTTGCCACATGGAGCGATGTTGGCTAATTAACTATTTACAAACAAAAGCAATTATTTAAAATCAGCTTTAGATTAAATCGCTAAATACAAATTCTTATTTGTTATTAGCTATTAATACGCAGCCAAATAATCTCCCATTTCTTTTTGATCTCACATACATTTAACTAAGTAGATGTAGTTACATATGTAGTAGGAACATGTTATAGAAATTTATTCACCAAACAATTAAGAAAATGTTTTTGTAATTTTCTTTAACATTAGTTAAGTCCAGAAACTTGCAATTTTGTTTCAATACACAATTACATAATTTATTGGATTCCATCTTATACTAATATTATAAAGAGGTAAAATTTGTAAGTTTGTATACTTTGTATGTAGAGGAATCTTTGGAACCGCTAATTGGATTTCCAAAATTCTTTCACTGATAGATAGCTATATTGTTCCTGAGTGCTAAAGGCTTATTCCGGAGTGTATTCTATGCCTGTGCCAAATTTTATCCAGATCCGTCCAGCTGTTTTGGCGTGATGGAGTAACAAATATACAAACATCCAAACATCGTAACTTTCGCATTTATAATATTAGTAAGATTATTTCTGTAACATGACATGACATATTAATAACTTCAATCAGTACAATAATATCGTAGCGTCTTGTTTGTTGTCCCTTTATCAGTTTCATTGATTTTAATCCAAAACGAAACTATTTGATTAAAACATTGATTAGATACACCGATGATTTATCATTTTCTCATTGGTCGCTATGGGGATTTCGCGGGTCTGGGGATGGCGAGTAAGGGTAGCTCGCTGCCTGACCAGAACCAGACCCGAGCGTACGTCGTTCCGCGCGTGGCTCAAAGAGTCAATAGACCACCACAGACAGGGCCATATAGGGCTGCTGTTCAGCCGGGGTTGCGGGGTAAGCGCAATGAGGCACCGTCACCGTGACCTCGGCCCAGAGCAGGATAAGGAACGGGGGGTTTTTAGTCAGTAAGAGTCTGACATTCTCTCTCGCCTTACCCTGGGCGGGAGAAGCCATTGGATGATTTTACCCTGACAAAAATGGGGATTACTGGGGATTAATTACTTAATATCCCAAACAAACATACATTTTGTACATATCATCTAGCTAGAAGAAAGTAACCATCACACTTCTGTAGTCTTACCAAAAATTTGTATTCATTGATAACATTGGTCTCTTACATAAATCAAACCTAAGGACGAGTGTACTACACAGACCGTCTTATCCAGCAAATTAAGTCAAGCAGTAAAGATAATTCCACGATTGATTCCACGTGATTTATTCTTTTGCAATATAAATAATGTTATCATAATTGATAAAATATTTCATTATTATCCAAAGATATCAGTGTAAGTAGCTAGTTGACCGAGATTTTCGAGAGTGATTAACACTACAATAACATTATAATATGTGCTTATTTCTATTCTAATACTTCATCATCCATTTTCCTACATAGTACTTGTACCACCACCCAAGCCACCGAGGTAATAGTAGCATAATCTTTAATTCCACGACGCTGAGCTACATTTCAAATTCACTCGGGAATCTTGGAATTGTAGATGTTTTGTTTATTCTTGTTTCAATTTGATCTGTCTAATATAAATTCATGAATGTGATCTTCATAAGAGTTTTGTACACGTGTTTGAATACACGTGTAATCTTAGTTTTATGGGCTCTATGGAACTCATTTTTCCTGTTCTGTGAACCACCATTCAATTTTGTTTGGAAATTAACTGGCATTCATGTCCCTAAATAATATGTATTATTAGCAACTAGAAACTTCTGAATTGTTACAGTAAAACTTCCATCTTCCAAACTTTTAAGATAAGTATCTTGAATAACAGTTTATAAGCACGCGATGTTCAGTTTTTGTTATTTTTTGCTAAGACTGGGTTATCGTCCTGTCTCAAGTTGTATGGGCAGTTTTTTTGCCAATACGATCGTTACGTAACTTTACATACTAAAACATGTATAATGCCAAGGTACAAGGTCCAATATACTTAACCATGATTTGCTCAACACACAATTGCTTTTATGGAAATAGGATGTGCGATGAGAGTCACTTGTCGAAGATGTTATTAGAATATCAAATATGGCGGTTATAATATTGCGTTTTTGCGACCTTAATTTGATTTCTGATCATGTCGCGAATTCCACTGCTTTATGAATACCATTTGGCTGATTTATTAAAACAAATAATAATATGAAAGTGGTATTGGTATTCTTGAAATGATAAATTATAATCACTGTGTATATTACAGATCCTGTGAGAATTAATATTGTTTATATTTACGCACAGACAATATTGTGTTAGAGTGTAATCGCTGTGTATATTACAGATCCTTTTAGAAATATTGTTCATAATTGTGTCAAGATAATGTTATGTTAAAGTATTAAACTTTATGGTTTGCTTTATTTATAAACAGATTTATTGTCTTCGCTTCTAGTGTCTTAACGATAATTACTTACCAATTTAAAAGTAAAATGAAGTGTTACATATTTCTCAGTCGTTATTTGAGTTTTTGGGTAACGCTCCTTTACGAGAATAGAAGATAAGACTGTTCGACACTACATGTGTGTGTTTTCAATAAATTGTTCAACATTTTACGTGTTTATTGACGATGACATACATCATTACGAGGTCACAGGTGGGTTATATGGGATCGTGAAATCTATTTTAGTTCATACCTCTAACATACATTTTCGACGCTACTTTAATTTTCCTGTAAAACCAATATGAGCAATATAACAAAGATCACGTGAACTATTGTATCTGACCTTTGGAAGGTCTCGTGGGACGCGGACGATCCGAGCGATCCATGAAAGATAATGCGACTATAATGTAGCATTCATTATGTTATTTGAAAACGTGCAAAAATGTTGCATTCGAGTTAAAACAATGCAGTTTTATACGTTTCCTCTGCTTACTATACTTATTTTTTTTTCTTATTGTCCTTCAATTATAGTGGTTTACAAGATTGATGTTTGAAGTAACGAGGGAGGAGGGTGGTTAGATTTTTTTGCATTTAACTCTTAAATGGCGACAAGGTTTTTGGGGAAAAGTTGAGGTAAGAGCACACACAAAAAAGTGTGTGCTTATACCTCAAAAATTCTCCCCGTTCCCCGGTACCATCAGGGCCTGTAAATGTTTAGTATACCTAAATAGTTGCGAACTTGGCTAATTGTAAAGGTAGGTAATGGTTGTTTGGTATAGTTTTAGCGTTATACTGCCTGTGTTCCCAGTACCTACACTCAAAACAGTTCAAAGTACCTACAGCTTATTTTATTTTAATTTGTTTCGAAGAATACTCAACATTGCAGTGAACGGAATTGTAAATTGTGCGTGAGTCAGTGGGTAGGTAAAAAATTAATAAAAAGCCATAACGCTGTTTAATTAAAAACAATGTATCCAATTACATCACACGACATTGTTTTTTACGCTGGAAACTGTTATCTTAGGAATGATGTGCTTATCCATATTATTGTTTAATTTTCAGTCACAATCAGCACTTTAAAATAAACAGGGTTTGCATTAAGCACGTATTGCTCATGGTCGTTTGTGTTAATTTTGCATTCAACGTGTTTATCGGCGAGGCTAGGTGAAAATTGAAATCGAATTTGGTCGATGTATTCGAAATTTTGTTCTGTCAACCTCAAGGTCTATTTCGGTTTACTTCATCAGCGATGCATGTAACGTACACGAGAACTTATTCAATAGAATGGAATATTACTTTATATTACATATTTTATTCATCTTATTTATTTTCCTAGAATCGTTAACAGTTTGCAGGGAGAAAACCAACGTTTTGAACACGTCACGTATTTTATAAATAAGTTATTCAGCACGGTCGTTATACTTAGCCAGTAAAACCATTTTAATTGTAGTGAGTATATAATGTGTAATCGTACAATTTGTTGCTCTCATAACATGAAGTCAGCGTATGCCAACCGAGGGCGTTGCACGTGGTGACTGTATGATCGTAACACCACGTGCGGCCATCGTGGTTTATTTTTCTTATGAAGCCTAACTTATATTTCATGTTTACTGTTTTGTTGCCGAGTTGCGGCGGCCGGCCGGCAATCAAATCATAACAAATGCTATCGCGACGCTGTGCTGATAACTCGGCATGTTGCGATGAGTCCGAACATGGACACTACATTTGATTGTGATAGAGTATGATGTGGTTAATCGAACATTATACGATACTTATGAATAGGTAGACCTAAATTCAAGCGATTGCGCATACCATTAAACAATTAAATTAACGTGTTAACTCAAGTTGCAATTCCTGCATGATTATTCAAGTATTTAGGTGAATTAATTTATATTTTAGCAATTACTGAACTGTGATAAGTACGGTACTATTCGATCTTTTTAAAGATAGACTAGACTTATAAGATCATATCGTTGTTCCAGGCGAGGTGACAAAGGCTGAAAATGACTGTGGAGAAGAGCAAAGGCTTAGAGCCCAAAAAGCCACCAGCGACGAGGAAGGTGGCACCTGATGGCGGGTGGGCATGGATGGTTTGCTTAGGAGTCAGTTTAGTAAACGTAAGCATCTGTACATGTCGCTTTAAATTATTCCAAAAGTATTTATATATCTGTCACCTAATTGAATCGTGTAGGTATCACATACAATATGGTAGGTATGAAAGTTATAACAGATATCTATAATTCATTAAAATGATAAAATTGTGGGAATAACCAGATTACAGTAGGCAATTTTGTTTATAAATATGACCAAGCATAATTTACATTTTGCTATAGTAGGAAGTCCTACGATATAAGTTCTCAGTGTCGAATTCTATCCCTGTTCATGCTATAGATATCATCATCATCATCATCATCATCAGCCTATAAGTGCCCACTGCTGAGCAAAGGCCTCTTCTCACACGGAGAAGGTTAGAGCATTAATCACCACGCTTGCTCAATGCGGGTTGGTGATTTCAAACTTATAATTAGAAATTATAAGTCCAGGTTTCCTCACGATGTTTACCTTCACCGTATGTCAGTGGTGTCTAAATAATCATAGAAAGTACATGACGTGCTATAGATATGTTTTTATTCAAATAGCTACAGCTATGTATAGTACACCGACTATAATTGAATTTAGTTTTGCATGTTTGTACGAAGTAGCTAATTTCAAAGGTCAATCACCTCGTTTTGCGTCCTTGTTTAAATACGTATGCTCGTCTGGTAGTTGTTTGCATCATTTGCTTTGTGTGTATTATTTTAATGCGGGATTAAACAGATGAATTAACTTTAATCAAATAATATTTATCTGAAAACTTCGATGGCTATGTGTAGTAGTAGTTGGTAAAAATATGCGATGAGCGACGACTGTGTAATACATAATTATATTCTTTTGTGCATATTCTCAGACTTTTGTACGGCTTTCGTTGAACTCGTTGTAGTTAAAATATACCGTTATGTTCTCTGACTTTGCAAAAGCTTTTGATACATTTGAGTACTGATAGTCCATGGCTTTCAAATCTTTATCTGACAAAGTCTAGTAAAGAAATTAAATAATTATTTTAGCTGGTAGCTACAGGAGTTCCTCAAGGGCCTATGATGTCACTTATGTAGGTCATCTTAAAGAATCCAGATAATCCGAAATGATAAACAAATTAGCTTGGCATGTTGTAATCAGAACGTTATCAGTGAATAAAGAGCGATTTATTTAGATACGTATACATTGATTTATTGTTAATTACAGTAATAGTGTATTGTCGAATCTATTAAACTATATTTTAAGTATTGAACTTATGGAAGGTATGTTAGATTGACTCATATACAAGTACTGGTGACATAGTATTAGGTACATTGTCAGAAAAAGACGCTATGCTTAAAGTCTATCAATCAGCTCAAGTGGTTTTATTCCACGACAGTAAAACAGCAATTTTTGTATTATTGCCTATTGTTTGTCTAAAGTATTCAATTGTACCTAAAGTAATGTAGCATATTCTTATATATAATTTAAAAGAGTATTGCCAAAGTGTAGTACCTGCAAATGGGCTACAAAACCTAAATAAATTGGAATTGTCAGTACAATACTACATTAAATAAGTTTGACCTTTACTGCGTTCAAGGATTAGATGAAACAACTTTTTTCCGTAATTTTATTACACCCATTATAGTTGAAGGTGAAACTTATTCAAAGATTAATTCCTAAATAGAAGAATACCTATAGATTAATTCTTAATTTTCGCTATAGAGATGTTGGAGGATGATAATGAAAGAGTACCTAAATCACTTTACCATAGGCCCAATCCTTACCCTCCCCCAATTCAAAAATCTCCAATCCCTAATCCTAATAAGGTCGGTGACGCACTCGTAACTCCTCTGTTACGAGTTGTACTGTTCTTACGGGTTCATGGGCGTCGCTGATTGCTTACCATCAGGTAATCCGTCTGCTTATTTACCGTTCTCTAAGATAAAACAAAATCACCCAAGTAAATTTTTTGTGGCATTATGTGTCACTTAATCAGATAACACAACTGGCCAGCTTTTTCTTAATGTTAAATCTGTGACCATCAGATATTTATTGAAGGGCAGTGCAGTGCCTACGTGACGCGGTCACAAAGTCTCGAAGTCTCGGTTCTCGACACAATAATTATGATTGCCTAACTAGTCACATGCTCCTAACGTTGACACAATTACTACTTCAACTGATTGTATTGAACTCGGGAAAGAGATTCCTATCTTTTGTTTGCTTTGTTTTTTATATCTATCAATATTGACTAATGTAGTTCAAAGTAAAGTTTTAAGTAAATAGGTACTTGGTTTTGATTCTATAAAACGGTTTTTACAAGTCTTTTGATAATGCTAGCGTACTTAAGTAGCCAAGCCTTTTACGACTGTTTTATTGCATCAATATGATTTTATCAGTTTCACTTACTCTTGCGCACCTCTTAAAGCAGCATTTCTTATGCATTGTCTTTGATTCTTTAGTAAGTTAGTATTTTATTTTCCTTTTGCTGCATTGAGATTTCATCACAATCAATGTAAACAAGAAACTGGTTTGTACGGAAATAAAAAAAGTATTCGTCCTTGCATTGATGAAAGATACTCGTAGTAAAATCCATTTTCTTTTATATAGTTCCTTGATTTGTTTAAATATTTCTTCGATGACTTTGAAAGTGAAACACATTGAAATTGGTATTTACGATAAGATTTTTAGTGTTCACATTAAAAAAAAATAGAATTGTTAAGAGGTGGGAAAAAAATCGATATTGCAAATATGTGCATATTATACTTCTATTATTCAAGAATTGATGTAGCATAAATTGTATTACTGCCTCATGTCTAGTGTTACGTTATAATGAAGATGAAACTGTAATTTTGAATAAAATAATGATTTATAAATCCTATATTAAAAATACCGGTTCCATACGAACAGTCGTATATATTCGCACATATTTATTATGTAGGAAGCAGGTTTTTATTGATGAAATTTTTATTATAATATTATAATAAGGAACGTGTTTTTTATTTACATACATATCGATGTAGATATTGTAATACGAGAATTTTAGAATAGGATTATTGACAAGCTCGTGTGCGGATAGTTGTTACCATCTATACATCAGCATTTCAGAATTTAGAACTGTGGTAGTACATCTCCATTCGGATGATAAATATTTATGATCGCATAAATCTTTGCGATGCATCGAAACTTTAAAGTCTGACAATAGTTCTAACAAAGGATTTCATGTCTCACTGAGTAAAATACAATATCGAATATACCAAATCTCTCAGCGTTTCTACAAGCTTAGTCTAGAACAGGAAATGTGTATTGATTTTCGATGTGACGATGTACTGTTAAATCTTTGCTAACTTACACCTTGAATTCAGACTTGAAAGGAATGTCCCAGATAGGCGGGCTTTATACAGGTAAACGGTGCGGACGAAACAGATATTCTAAATCTTCCTTCCGTTCCTAATGCTTTTAAATGTTTGATTTCAGTTTTCGACGCGTTCTCTTGAGCCGTCGTTTGGTTTGCTGTTCAAAGATCTACTGGATGATCTCGGGGTCCACACAACTGGTGCTTCAGTGATTGCCAGTACACTAGACTCTGTAGTCAATTTCTCTGGCTTCTTTGTGGGGCCTGTGATAAAAACATTTTCGTACCGGAAAGTGTGCTTCGTGGGCTCCACAATATGTGCCCTTGGTTTACTTTTCACCGCACCAGCTGCCAGCATGGGACACATTATCACTACTTACAGTATTTTAGGAGGTAAGTTTTTTGTTAAATTTATGAGATTATACTGGGTGGTATTTTAAACGAAGAGCATACTGTGAATCGGAGTGAATACAATTCAAGGGGTAAAAGACGCAGAAGAGGGGTGAAGATACTAGGAAAATTCGCCAACATCTATTCATCACTTTTCTGCACCCATTCACCTCGTTTTAAGGTATTCACGGACCCGATTCTGGTGCTAAAATAAAACAACTTTGGCTAATTGATAATTTTGCTTGGAGAAGTAAACATTTTTTTGAGATTTCGATATTAGTCCCATGGAAAAAGTTGGTGTAAAAATGGGTGTGAATATTCGTTCAAAATCATGTATTGCTGCTTTGCATAATTTCTTTAAGTAACAAAGAGTCATGTTAATTCTTCATCGATCTTTAGACATATCTGCTGTCGAAATATAACCTTCTTGGCTATTTCAAGTTGATTTATTCTAAAACGTGTTATGTAAAAGTTAATTCCGTGTGCATCCGTTTAAACCGTCTAGTGACATTATTTCTTATACTGTCTAGCTTCCTAAGGAAAAGTTAATTAATAATTTAAGTACAAATACGTATGTATAATATTGCAGCATTACCTTTTAAGCAAATTGCACGACTTATAAGCAGTATCGTTTCACTTCCTTACATTACGTTAACAAATAAGTATAATGCTTTTGATAGGGTCTATAAGAGTCATTTGCCTCGTCAGACAGAGCCATATTCCATATTATAATGACCTTAAGCACTTTGAAGGTTTCCAGGAGGTTTTCCTTTATTATTATTTCACTAAACTTATATGTCGCGTTTGCGTTAAACTATATAATTAACCTCGTAACATAATTCTTAATGCGCATAATATCTAGACGTATTTGTAAACGTTTCACTTTTATCTATAGCCTCATTAGCATTTATTCATTATTGATGTGTTACGTGACTATAACCTTATGCTCCGAAGATTGTGTGGCCAAAAACTTTAATATTATTGATTAACTATCATTATGTGCAATGAAGTAGCTTGAATTTTGTTGGCGTTGCTTCGCATTGTTGTTTTCTTTTATTATGTCGTGTCGTGGGTGCGTTAACAAAAATACAATTTCACATTTACATGCGCACACCATGCACTATGTTTATTTGTCATGTTAGTAAACACGTTTGGGAATTTCAACCATTTTAAAAAATAGATGATTGTATGTAAGTTGAAAGTATATACTGAAATAAATAAATGAAAAATACTATTCTCGAGAGGTAATTCGCGCTGTAATTGAGTTAGTTGGCACACAATTAAAAGCTATCTTTTAATTGTGTGCCAACTTATGTTTACCTTAGTTTTAAATAAGATCTTAGCCGTATAGACGGCTAAGATCTTATTTAAAACTAAGGTAAACATAAGCGTGTTACGTAGCTTGTTTCAAAAGAAAATCTTGCTACTTACGCGAATTACTGGGGAAAATACAATCGTTATTACGCAAGGGTGAAGGTGAAGCCCACTGTATTCAGAATAATTACTTTAATTATACTGATCAATATTCAAACATGAATCAGATTTCGATTTTGGTTGGTTTCGGCGTTCATGCTTTGCTGAATGATTAACTTGTCTGATGAACTACGAACATTAATATTTAAATAAAAAAAATGGAAAATTAAGGGCGCGGTAGTGTTTTAATCAATACTAATATTATTCAGAGTAAAAATTTGTATGTTTGTATGTAGGGGATAATCTTTGGAACCACTGGTCAGATTGTCTAAATTCTTTTACTAATAGAATAGCTACAATGTTCCTGAGTGCGATAGGCTATAAAACATCAAACTACGATCAAATGGAGGTGAGCAGGGAGGTAAACCACGCGAGAGTAGCTATTAGTACTCTTATAATATATGTATGAGTAGTATTGTAGTTTTTCTTTATTCGGTCGGGTCTGCGTATAATTTGCGAAGCTTGCCGGCCGGAGAACATTCTCGACATTACCTCTGGTACCATCCAGTGCAGGAGAAGTCATATGATAATTTTCATCCTCCAAAAAGGTTCTTTATTAATTAACGCGATTTTATTACGTCGACACTATTATATCAAATCTAAGAATCTGAATAACACCCTGATAATTTTGGTATCATCATGTATTTTATGGTGCCATCGTTATCGATCGGGTTAAATCGTGCAATTGGAGGGTAGCCGGACGGAACCTTAGCTACGTACCTATTAGTAAAGCAAACAACAAACATATCGAGTTTCGGCTTCTGATGACAAGGACATACAAAAGCGAGTTACCAGTTTTTGAGACTGAAATTATTATCCTTATAACTCATAAGCGTATCATGTGTAGTGACTTAATTGTTTTTTTCCTTCATCATCAGCCTATAAGTGTCCACTGCTGAGCAAAGGCCTCTTCTCACACGGAGAAGGTTCGAGCATTAATCACCACGCTTGTTCAATGCGGGTTGGCGATTAATTAGAAATTATAAGTCCAGGTTTCCTCAACATGTTTACCTTCACCGTATGTCAGTGGTGTCTAAATAATCATAGAAAGTACATAACTCGGAAAAAGTCACATTGGTACTTACCAGGTTTCGAACCCACACCCTCATGCATGAGAAGCGGGTGCCTTAACCTCCAGGCCACCACCACATTTGGTTTAATTGTTTATCAAGTCTCAATAGCAAAACAATCAGCAGAAATAATTTACTTTTTTATGGGTCGTAACGTAAATGGTCCGTTAACGCTTTTCATTACTTAATTCCGACTCTTACGTCATCTGTAATAATCCGTAATTTACACAGTACCTAACTACTAATGAACGTCATTTTTATTTCATGTAATTAATATTTCCTTTTTCAATGACGGGAACTGTAGCTCTACTGTACTTTGGCTTTTGTTAGTATTCTGAATAATTGTCAATTAGAATTATCAATGAATTAATTGTACTTTATCCTTAGTTTTCAAGCCTGATTTTATTATCTTCTAATCAAGAAGAATGGTATAAATTAAGTTAATATTGATATGAAGACGTGAGTGATTCCAATCCATAAATCTCCAGTCCAGAAATCCCTAACTACATATGTAGAGCCAGTATGGTTGGGAGTGTTCGCGTATTGCATTAATTGCTGACCACCAGATGACAAGACTGTTCGTTTGCAATCCTGTCAAGTAAAAACAGGCGAATTTTGGTCATACATACATATATGTAGTTGCATGCTCTTTTGACATAAATTTACTGAACACTGACCGAGGGAAAATCATCAAATAAATTTTCTTGCCTAGGGTATGGCGAGAAGTGTCAGACTCTTACTGACTAAAAGCCCCCCATTCCTTCCACTGCTTTAGGCCGAGGCAGCAGCACTTTCCTGCAATGCACTTGACCTGCAACCCCGGCCAAAGTAATTGACTATCTACTAGTTTTGGTATATATCTAATAATTAATATACGTAGGTATACCTAAACTTTTTTTTAATAAGCTATGAATATCAAAGTGAAGGTCTTGAAGCAATGACCGACACTTATATTTATTTACATATTATTGCAAACAGGGTGACTCGGACTGCAATTAAATATTTGTATCCAACTATATGCATATCTCGTTGTTATCTTCTTAGCTGTGACTTTTTGTCTGTGTTACTATATAAGTGCCTAAATTGAAGAGTCTTTAGCCGTATTTATTAATTAAATTCAATCAATGTTTCTCCGAAATTAGGTGGCTCTTGGTGGCCCAAGTGGGTCGGTCATAATACTTATCAATTTATTTTTTATATTTACCATTGTTTTGTAACGTCTAGAAGGCTCAGGCGTCAGGAACGATCAGTTAAAAACTAAACATATAAAAAAAAAGTATAACTGCCATTTTTTGTTTGTAATCTCCGTACGTAGTAAAAGTAATGTTTGAAAATGCGACAGTACTGTTGTTAGGAAGCGCTGCTGTTCAAGGCTGTCACCAATATATTTACAAACGACACACATAAATCATAAATCAATGATATATTATCCTAATATCACGCGTATTATGTATTCATAGTATATCCTGCGGTGTAGTAAATTATCTTCAAGGTAGCCACGCCGGAGTGCCGGCGTGAAACTGATTTCACGAACCCACGGCAGAAACGATTTCTGATGACACGTTACCTACGTAGGTTACTTTGAGTGCTTATCTGTGACGTCACCGCGATTACGTCATACGAGACCGAATCATGGCGACCTGAATTTGGGGATCGATTTGAAAACTTTCATATGATTAGGGACACATTACCGATAAATATATAGGTAGGTAGAGTACAAACCTCATTGTTGACCATTGCGAATTCATCTCTATTTTTAATTCTAGTATTCGTTGTATTTAGTTTACATTCATAAATAGAACCTGTTTAGCTTTTGTTAGGTTCTTTGACAAATAAATTGTATGTTTAAAAAAGCTTAATTAATTCGTTATGGACTCGATTGCTTTAGTATTTAAATAGCTGTTACTACATGCAGTTTCACAGACGTGCAGTTACGAGGAAATCTCATATCTTTTTGAGTCACAGTTGTTTATGGATTCACACATTGTCCTCATAAACTGAGGCCCTTCATGTATAATTAGGTTCTAACAGAAGTTTGTAATTAGCAACGTAGCATGACTACACACGCTAAAATCTTATGTAAATGAGCTGATTTATTGGTCATCCACTTGCTAAAATGGTATCTCATACTTATTTGTACTTAAGCTATACATATTGTAGGTACTTGTGTGTAATATAGATACATATGTATGCGGAAAATCTTGACACTCGTAATGTTTGGTTGTCCTTTTACTCAGCCGCTGCTGTGCTTGCGTCAATTAAATAAACCAAAAAAGTGTTATATAAAATTAGTCTTCCTTAAAAAAATATTGCATATTTAATTTTGATATATTATACACATAGAGTCGATATCAATTAAAATAAGGAATGCAAAAATTAGGTATATGTATTTATAGAAACTTTAATTAATTAATTCAATGGGACCCGTATTGTACAAATAAAGGTCTCCTCAAATAAAGTTCCTTCAACGAATACGACATTGCCATTCAGAGAAGGTCATAGTATTTTCCTCCTATGAGTTATATTATGTTTTGGTTTGATCAGTAAATGTAACAAAAACATTACCACAATGCAACAATATGACGGTGATTAATGATTGCAATTCAAAATAAATCATAACTAACATGACGTGTGCTTTGTTAAAATTATAATTTATCTTTTTCTTAACGTTATCCTAAACTAGGAATTTCCCGTGTCGTAAATGCAGTTACAACCATAGAATTTCACACAAATATAACACCCAGACCCTGGAACACTTGCATACACAGACAACAATTTGTGGATCCAAAGCAATGAGATATTGGCTAGTATATATTGGATAATGGTTGCCTAGCAACCGCATCAACCGTATGAAAATTTGAATGTCGAACGAGTCAATTCTAAATTAAATTTGACGTCTGTTTAAAATTCAAAATCTTGCAATTTAACAACAAAGTTTTTTTTTTAGTCAAAGAAGCAATTTAGATTCCAGTTATTCAATATCGATTTTTTTATGGTTTATGATTCTTATTTATTACACCAACTAAGTACCTATTCTTTTTCTAGTTCAACAAAGATTAATGACGGGAAATAGATGGGAAACACATAGTATTTTATATTCACGTCCAATAAAATTTCTTTCCTCACACAAAGGTTTTATCGTTAAACATGAGTCATAGAAAAGTTAACAGTGCCTTTTACTATTTTATAGGTATATGTTTATTATTAAGATGAACTGATTCATCTCCTGTATAAGATATTGTAGTGTATGAGGCACTCGATATACTCGATCAATACGTATTTGTTTTGATATCCTACTTATCAATCTTTATAAACGTCTTTCCAGGTTTCGGAGTGGGTCTCGCGTCGTCCTCATCGTTCGTGTCGCTCAACCATTACTTCTCTAAGAAGCGAGGTCAAGCCGTCGGACTTTCGATGGCCGGTACTGGCTTCGGGTTGATGGTGATGCCACAGCTAGTCAAACTCTTACTAGGAGAATACGGGTTCCGCTGGACGGTCGTCATATTGGGCGCCTTAGCCTTCCATGCCGTACTAGGTTCCTGTCTACTGCAACCAGTTAAAAGACATCTCATTGATGAACCAGTGGATTGTGAAATGCAAACAGTGAAGGTTGGCATGATTTTCCTAGTTATGCACTAAACAGTGCCCCTTTTTTCTACCGTATGTCAATTCTTGTCATAATATACATACAGGCAACATTAACCTGATTCCCTTTGAAAATAGTTTTCAGTACTTATTCCTACTATGTTTTTTATTTCAGGAAATGGAGTGTATATTAGAAAGTGAAGAAGAAAACGATGACAAATTTGAAATAAATCCACTTGTCTCACCTCAAATACCAAAGATAATAAAGCAACGATCACACACCAACATGAACCATCCTTCCGTGCGGACGATAGGCTTACCAAGGGCTAAGACCTGTGATAAGCCCTTACAGGAATTTGAAAAGTTCGAAATAAATAACAAGCTGTACCCAGGGTTGACAACTGCTGCGTCAGTGGCTGCTATGCCGCGAGTGACATCTAGTGGTAGTATGAGTGAAGCTGCGCGCAAGAGAAAAGTGTCAGTTATTTCAAATATATCCAACATGGACTTCACTGGCAGTTATTTGCAGTTGTATCTCGATGTGAGTGTCTATTAAATTTGTAAATGCTAGATACCTGAAGCGAAAGGGAGTGTCAGACTCTTTACTGACTAAACCCCCGGCAAGGCACGATGTCTTCTCCTGTTTGGGGCCGAGGCCGCGGTACCATAATGCGCTAGCCCCACAACCCCGCTTCTGTGGTGGTTTATTGGTGTTTTGAGCCGCCCTCGGAATGCTACGCGCCGTACGCTCGGGTCTGGCTCTGGTTGGGCAGTCTGACTCGCCGTCCGACCCGCGCTTGCGAAATGCTAGATACCTACGATGTTTTTTTAACAAAATATTTGTATAGTAAGATATATAATTTGCGAGTTCTGAGTTTTAAAATTGTGGTTTCAGACAGTGCAAGACGACGACGCCATACAAATGAAGCCAATCAAGAAAGCGGAACCCGAAGAAAAGAAGAAGGGTTTCTTTAGAAGATTTATAGCACTTATGGACTTAGATTTACTTAAAGACTGGTCGTTTTTGAACCTTTTACTAGGGCTCTCGCTGTTTTGGAGCGGAGAGCTACAATTTAGGATGTTGACTCCATTCTTTATAAGAAGTTTGGGCTACAATATGAATGACACGGCGTTTTGCCTCTCAATGACTGCCATTACCGATATTTTGGTGCGGTTGATCTTACCACCTATATTTGACAGAACGACCATTTCGAAGAAAATGATATTCTTTATTTCTTCATTCTTCTTGGCGGCGACTAGATCTGGTGAGTAAAATTCATACTTATTTTTACCATAGGGTTGTATTTAAACTTTAGGTTTTTTTTGCTTTGCAGTCAAACTTTGGGCCTGCGATAGTTTTATTAAATATTAGCTGTGGCCCGCGCCTTCAGTTTAATAGCTTAATAATATAATAATACCTTCGCTTAGTTTAATAGCCTATGGTCACTGGGAATAGGCCTCCAATTAGGCGTAATTGTTTCACGCCGGTTTTATGTGCGGCCGTGGTATCACTCTTTTAAAATATTAGTAATAAACTAGTGTAAACAACAACAGATCATAATCGTTACACGGATCACCAATAAAATTAATACCTTCAGCGTAAATTTATTTCAATAATCAATCTCGACCACGTGTTAAGCACTGAGAGTATGTTATTGAATTCGTTTGTTATGTTCTACACATAACTTATACGAAGAATATTACATCATCGTTAAACCTAACTTGTAAAGTTTATGAGTGTAGGTCTAACATAATATAGCTATTAATAAATCAATGTAGTGTATACTTTTAAGCGTTTAACACTCTACCTACGTAAGCCAGGCTTTTTATTTAGTTCTATCAACAATCCTACATAAATGTTGAGGTCGTAAACTTAACCGTAATATTTTTGATGTTCTGTGGAAATCGTACAATTATGTAATGTACAGTGAAACTCAATATTATTTGCTCTTTCGATTAGTAAATAATTTAGTTCATTGTGAGTTTCTGAATAAAACCAAGCTTTAGTAGATGTAGTGTGCTGTGTGTAAATTAGACATAGACTAGACTGAGTAGACTGGACAGTAGACTGTCTACAGTCTACAATTTTGTGACATCTACAAAGAATATCGAATAGTAGTGTGTATCGATTACAAATCAAATCTGTAATCTCTATAAAAATATATTTTTTTCCCAACTATACCAATCATAAAAATACAAAATTTAATTCACCAAATCCTAGCAATATCTCATCAATCTGTCTTATTTTTTCAGTATTAGCAGAGCAAACGGAATGGGTGCCTCTGATGATCTGGCTGTCCATCTGCGGGTTCTTCCGAGGAATGTGTCTGAGTAACTTCACTTTGACTATCTCCGAGTATTGTCCTCTTGAGAAGCTCCCAGCCGCCTTCGGCCTACATATGGTCAGCAAAGGAGTTTTCGTTGTTGCTATTGGACCTTTGATTGGTAAGTTTTTTCCTCTTCTACACTACAACAGTTACACAGACGAGTCTAGGACGATAAGTCTTTATATGAATAATATAAGAATCCTCTATAGATTAATTGTATTATTGGTGGACGGATTAGAAAAAGTTTTATCATTGTTGTGAGACTTGTAATGTTTTTATTAAGTATTATTGATCGTGTTAAGTATTTGACTATTATATAACGTAAAATATAGGTTTGGAGCTTGTTATGAAAAGTGTGGGTACATGTAAAAAATAGCTACTCATGTACATTCAGTCAACAAAGTATCGGGAATGAATGTTTTTTTTTATGGTTCCAAATTTTAATTATTTTTGTTGTTGTTAGATTGGCATAACTGTTTTCCATTTTGGCGCGGAATTTGAGTTGCATCTGTCATTTATATTAAAAACAGTGCTGCTTTTAGTTTTATAATATCTAGTGTGTATTGCGAATTTCATAATGGACAAAAACATCGAACAAAAAGTTTGTCTTAAATTTTGCATCGCCAATGAAATTTCGTGTTCGGAGGCACTCAAAATGTTACAGAAGGCTTACGGTGAATCGACTTTATCAAAAACACGTGCTTATGAGTGGTACAAAGCGTTCAAAAGCGGTCGAGATGTGATGGAAGATTTGCCTCGTTCTGGTAGGCCATCAACGTCTGCAACTGAAGTTAACATCGCAAAAGTGAAGGAAATAGTTACTGAAAATCCTCATTAAAGTTTGAGAGAGATGGCCGCCGAACTTTCTGTATCTCACGAGTCGATCCGTACCATTTTAACAAATAATTTGGGTATGAATCGTGTTGCCGTTCGGCTAGTCCCAAAAGACCTGAATTTTCTTCAAAAACTAAATCGAATGAAAGTCGCTGAGGACATGCTAGAACGAGTCAATACCGACCCAACATTCATTAAACGCATTGTTACTGGTGACGAGACGTGGGTTTACGAGTTTGACATGCAAACTAGTCAACAAGCTTCGGAATGGCGCCTTCCAACTGAACCAAAACCGAAAAAACCACGTCAAAGTCGATCAAAAGTCAAAGTCATGTTGACTGTTTTCTTTGACTATCGCGGTTTTGTGCACTCAGAATTCTTGCCCGAAGGTCAAACGGTAAATAAAGAATATTATTTGAGCGTTATGCGGCGTTTAAGCGAACAAATTCGACGAAAAAGGCCAGAAATGTGGAAAGAAAATTCTTGGATTTTGCATCACGATAATGCGCCTTCGCACAAGGCCATCATTGTAAACGATTTTTTGTCCAAACACTCAACAAACACCATCGAGCAGCCACCATATTCACCAGATATGGCTCCAGCCGACTTCTTTCTTTTCCCACACTCAAATTACCCCTTCGTGGCACCCGTTTTCAATCGTTAGAAGACATAAAGGAGAATTCGCGGCGAGCACTGAACTCAATTCCGGAAACAGCGTTTAAAAAAAGTTTCGATGATTGGATTATTCGTTGGCGTAAGTGTATCGTTTCTGAAGGAGCATACTTTGAAGGTGATAAAATAAATTTAGATGAATAACAAACATTTTGTGTATTATTGACTTTTTCCTTGTACTTTCTTGACAGAGTAGTATATCTAACATTATTTATAAGGTAACATGAATTTATTTATTGAGAGAAAATTACTCAGACATCACGCTGATAGTACTTTCAACCAACGATTGTTTCTTTAAATTGTTACCAGAACAAATAAATTACTAATCATGTTGCAAAAAAATACACTACAGAAATTCTACTATTTGCTTAAACCGTTAATTACATCGTCCGCCTTTAAGTGCCCACTGCCGAGGTAAGACCTCTTCTCACACGGAGAAAGTAAACATTATATTTTTGAATATTTTTTTTATGTAATAGATCGGCAAACGAGTAGTCGGATTACCTGAAGGTAAGCAATCAGCGCCGCCCATGGACACACGCAACGGAGGAGTTAAGACTGCGTTGACGACCTTTTAGAGATTAGGGATTTGGAGATTTAGGGATTGAGGAGGGGAAGGATAAGGCCTCCGGTAACCTCACTCACACAGCAAAATACAACGCTGTGGTTGTTTCACGTCGGTTTTCTGTGAGGCCGTGGTATCACTCCGGTCGAGCCGACCCATTCGTGGCGAAGCATGGCTCTCCCACACTTTGCCGAATAATTAATTATATAATATTTATTTTTCCAGGATACGTGAGAGATTACACCGGTAGCTTCGCGACCTGTATCCACGTGCAGAATGCTCTCATAATGTCTTGTGTACTTGTATGGGGCGTCGAGTACGCGCTCGCCTTCACTCGCCGCAGGAAAGTCGTGCAAATATAGTGACCGTAATGTTCCATCGAGGAACTAAAGCTCACCGTATTACTGTTATATCGATTATATCCACTATTTAGACATGTTATAATCTTGTCTATCTATTAATGCTTTTATAAGTACATTTTAATATCGCAACTCATGTAAGAGCAAGCGGGAAACAGTGCAGTTAATAATCTCTGTCAAGTTTCTCAATACATTTTACAGCGTATACATAGAAGTTAGTGTTTTCTCTGAGTTTTTATGATGGGTCAGTCCATATCATTACCATATCAAAATATTTTGCTCTAAATGAAATTCATTAACTGCACTGTCTCCATAAATGGTGATTTAAATATTTAACTTTATGTATTTACGAGAATACTCCGTATTTTACGCTCGTAAAGAATTGTTGACTACAATAGTCTGTGACACAGACTTCCTTTCCATACAAAAATACGTATCTATAATCAACGAACTAAATGATATTATATTTGAAATTTTCTCTAAAACTGCTCTCTAGAGCCGAAACTGAATTGGCCATGACTATCATCGTTCATTTTCTCACAAAAATCTAACAATTTAATCATGAGCATTGGTAATAAATTAAGAATATTAAGGGCTGATTTTTCAATGGTTAGATAAAAGTTACCTAAGGAATAATTATGATGTTGTCGCGTCAGAATGTTTATATAAGACAGGGACGGCAACAATTTTATTCCTGAGACAACATTTATATGACTATTGAAAAATCAGCCCTAAAGGTAAACAATAATCTTCCATGGATGTGTCAAAGCTTAGTGTTAATACTAGAACCAGTGAATTATCGAAAGTGGAACATCTATTTCATAGTTACTTAGAACGTAACTTTTAGACATTGATTATAACGATTAATATTTTTAGACGGCTGTTTGTAGTACGGAAAGTTTTGTAGGTGTGTATTTTTAGATGATATTAATTTATACACATAAATTAGTTGTAGGCAAATAATTAATGACAAGTTTTATCAACGTAGATGAGACCATGGAAACTCTTAGGTGAAGAATGATTATTTTGGATTTGACTGCAATTCTAATACTTAGTTTGAATTCTTCTAGCGATTACTTCTGATCATGATCATGTTCCATTATTGTAGTATTTGAAATCAACGTTAAGTACTTATGATAGTAATACAGAATACGCCTTAAAATTAAAGTACAGATTTGATTTCATTTATAGCTTGCATTTTAAAATAAACGAATTATGACGTAAACAATGGAGTCAGCGTAAAATGTATGTGTTAAATTGCAACGTTTTATAATTGAACATTCTGCTGCTGTTGCCAAATTATATTTTTCTTGCCAAGTAAAATTAATTTGGCATTATGCAATATGTGTTCTTCGTTTTTATAACATGTAAACGAAGCATTTTTTTTAATATGCAGAGATAGTTTCTCTGCCACGCTGTCTAAAGAATGAAAATAATAATAGTTATTATCATAAAGTACTTACATATAGGGAATCACAATTATAATAAACGGGTCAATAACATACATACATACCTGATGTTTTATAATCATATTATATACTCCATTCCAATATTTCGTCTTCCAAGGACTATATCTAATAAGATAATCTCCTGCGATGTGCTTTCGATGTGTGATTTAATTGACCAAATATAACGTGTATGTACTTACTAATGTTGGTTAAACGTAGTACTTACATTATAATAAGAATCCATCAACAGTTATTTTATGTACTTATTAAACTCTTAATATTTTTAACATTTCTTGTTTGAAAAATATAAGAACGCTCATCAATCTTGTTTTTAACAAAATAAGATAATTGCAATCAATTTTTGAAACTTATGTGCCAATTGTACATACATACTTTATACGAAGTTATGTAAGATAGAAACATATTTAGAAAAAGAACGCGTTTACAATTATCAATTCAAATAATCGTGTACTTATAACAATGTTCTAGATAATAGTTATGAAACATTTAAAAAAGGAACGTACATTAAATAGATCTAATGCATTTTATTATTTTTAAATGAAATACTTATGTAGGTTCACAGAACCGACGCGACGTAACGGTTTTTATCTTGTTTTATTGACCGTTTTATAATGCTTAAATATTAGTTAAAATATATTGTTTATCATTTTATAATTGCATAGAATATATTAAAACTCATTTGTAACTATCTGATTACAATTTACATATATACGTGACCATATTTTTAGTTACAAAAAACTTGTTTTTTTTGTAGAAAAAATAATAACATCTTGAGATAATATTTGTTTTTGTAGGTGACATTAAAACCGACTGCTATGCAAATTAGTTTCAAGTCACATGGTTCGACATAGTTTGTAAGAGATGCAGGACACTGCATTATGATAATATGAAAGACATAAAAATAATAGCAAAAATACTTCAATCTCAGAAATCCGACTAACGCGTTGCAGGCGTCATTAAACTTTAAGTACATAGCAAAAAGATCTAATCAAATTTTAATTAAATACTGACAACTTAATAATACAAGACTTACAATATTATGTCTGCGTGAATAATTGAATATTGCATTATAATTTTATGACAATAATTTTGTTGAGTTTTGGTATTTAATCGTATTGTTGTTGATAGCTTTGTTTAAATCAGTTGAATCTGTTATGAAATAATTGATGCCTGCTTTTTACAATACCATATGCTAAGGGTTCATAAAATTAATATGAAATATCTGAAACTTACATTTAAGAATTAACATGTTCATAATTTAGTTTTAAGTTTTTTTAGAAGTAGAAAGTACAATATGACGATTTAATTTTTAATTTATTAATATTGGTATTGTGATAAGCAGGCGTTTTATACTTTTATGGATGGTGCGAGACTTAGCCTGTATGTTATATTATACTTAATCTATTTTATTAACCATGTAAAATTTATAGTGAACATTTTATATAAAAGAATGAAAAAAGACAATGGATTAAAGTAAAAGGTGGTTACCGAGGTACGTTGTTTCATTTCTAAATGCTTGAAGAAATTTTCATTCAAAGTGCAAAAAACTCGCCCTGTCTTTTACACCCAAAATGATAGACAGAGGTGCACATAACGCCACACAATGTTCAGTTATGAGCTATTGATAGTGACGCAAAATTTGTAGTTGATGATAGGGCATACTTTTTATTGGTTACTTCTATACTACGTGTGTCGTGCGCGCCAAATCTAGTTTCTGTGTGATTAATTTATTACTTTAATAAAATAGCCCATTAGCTTATTAACAACTATAGTAAAAAAATATAAAGCTGTAAATCAATCAAAGTTTCACTTTTTTTTAATTTGTAGGTTATAACTAACTTACCCAGTGAATTAACTGAGAAAAGCTCTATATTAGTGTCGAGTCACAACGGGACTCTTATATATGTCATGAGCATAGTGAAGCCGACAACTAAACGTAAATAAAAAAATAACAATTTAATTTTAGTATATTTAGTATGGCTCACGATAGTTACATTATAACCTATGCATACCAGCGTTTAATGAGTTTTAGCATTTTTATTTTTTGTGTCGACATTAAAAAAGTAGAATGACTGAAGCCAAAAGGAATTTTAATTTTTCGTATGTTCAGCTTGAAAAGCAGAGCAAGACTACATTTTTTATCATTAAGATTCGGTGGTGGTTATGGTTGCCGTAAGTCGGAAATAAATTATAATCGTTTGGGAAATTCAAAAGTATCCGCTACAGGGATATATCTTATATAGAATGTGTGGGAACATGGACGAGTTTCCTTTGCCTGCTTCGGGTCAATCGATCAATCAGCACAGAGCTGAACGCTGCACCGTTCCGGTCGTGTTTAAGTAAATGAAACCCTCACTAGGTCTTCTGAGAAACACTCTGCACCAACCACGCATTCGCTCAACCTTCTGCCGCAGAGAAACTAACTAGACTATTAAACGTGAATATCCTTAGGAGCGGAAATCTTGTGGGACGTCTATAAAACCTTCGGATTAAAATTTCTTCGTAACTGTTGTTAAAATGATTGTAAGTATTTATTGTGTTTTTACTCTTTTTTTATTATATAACATCTAAAAGCCTCGCGAAATGTGGCTTGTACAAATCACCCCAATGTAGGAATAAGTAAAAGCTAAAGTATAATGTCTGTCCTATGCATGGAAAAATGTGTTCCATTCATAATGGTTCCTGTGTGTTTGACGTTCAAAAATGGCTAGTCTAGGTATTTGAAATAAATGATTTGACTGAACTGAACTAAAAACCAGCGCGTTTTTACTTTAAGTTCTTATGTAGTCATAATGGCACACTACCTATTATTGATCGATTCATTGGCTTGTTCAGGAACCCCTATTCTCAAGATAGCAATAGACAGGAAAGTATATAGGTACTTAGGTAGGTGTAAATCAGTGCTGGGGTTCTTTTTGCGGCACAATGTACTTCGGTAATAACTTAAAAATGGCGGCTATAGAGGTGAGTGCAAACCTGTTTTTTGCCGGTTGTGAAAAAATATCAAATTATTTCTCTTGCCCTGCCTAGAGAGTGTCAATCTCTTACTGACTAAAAACTATCCTATTCCTTCTTCTGCTTCAGGCCTAGTCCGTGGTGGACTCTTTGAGAGGAGCTCGCTGAACGCAACGCGTCGTACGTTCGGGTCTGGCTCTGGTCGAGCGGTGAGCTAAATCTTGCTTGCCGTCCGCAGACCCATGCTTACGGTGGCCAAAGATCGTCGCGCGTCTCAGATTCCGAGAGAGTGAGAGAAAGCGTGAGGAAGATAATTCCATCAAGAGCTCCGCCTCCTTCTTTGCGAGCTTCACTGCTTAGCAGAATGAGGGGATGGCTTCCCGAAAGCCGGACTCGAGAGGTCACCGCTGTTTACTTCCCCGAAGACGAGCATACGCCACGCTGTCACCGTATGCTCCAGCGTGTCCTCCGATGGCTTATAGCACTGGATCCGAAACTGGTACCTACATCCTGAAACTTTTAGCACTTGCGTCAGGTGGAAGGTGAGGCAGCCGTGGCGCTTCTCTAGCCACTCCTCAAAGAGGGGTCTTAACACTGCTCTGGCCCTCGGTGGCGACAGTTGCTGCTTCCAACCCGCTATGAGATCTGATCTCCGATTGTGCTAGAGCTTATTCCGCCGCGCATTAATCCGGGGCAGTGGAGTTTCGCCAAGAGTCCAGTCAAGCGCCAGCCATTTTGCCTTTAGATACCATAGCGGTGACCCAGCAAAGAGGTTCACACCACACCTCCTCGGAGATCGTACGAAAACAAACCTTGGTTTCATATTTCACTATAGACAGATTATCATTTCTTTATCATGCAAATGACAAAATGCACGTTTGAACTTTGTGAGAAATCAAATAAATTAGGACAAACACGTTTTGGAAGATATTTAATTAAAAGAAACAGATACTTATACATACCTGCAGCCATTAAAATAGTCACATCTGCTTGATAATATACTCGTTATGATAATCAGATCAAATTCTAAGAATTTGAACTTATTTAATATGAAAACAGACGTCTCCGACTGTCTAGGTACAAGTATACTTAAGCATTTGTTTTTTTTAGTGAATGATCGCTTAAGTATTCGGTTGATCAAGCGA